TTTTTTTCTTTATTTTGCTGTTCTTTTGCCTTCACCTAATCTGTAATCGAAAGAGGCAAAAGAACATGTAATACCAAAAGAAAAAAAGAATCCTATCAACATTTTCATAAAAATGGTGAAGGACTATGTGTGCTAAATAACTTAGTCTACGAAAAAAATAACAAAAATTTTTTCTATAAAAATTCATTCCGATATTATCATAGTCATCGACAGCAACCAACAAACCAGTGGCAACAGCCAAGTACTCCTTTTTTTCCGTTCATTTATTTGCTACGACATTCTTTTTCTGATGAGTTCAAACGGTCATCGTTGTTGGTAAAAGAGGTTAGAATTAAACAAAAACAAGCGAGGAAGGAATGGAAAGGAATTACCTAAAAAGGGGAAAGAGAGGAACAGATTAAACGAGGACTAAACAGGAGAAATTTGTATACCCAAAGAAAATAATCATAAACGCGTAAATACCCGGTCACTTTGGTGACGGGAATACAGTCAGTCGCGGTTACGTAATTTTTGGTTACCGATATCCAATGTCTTAACATTTTGGAGTGTTCTAAAAAATAACAATCATTTCTTTGTTCCATTGTTTTTTCCTTTTTTTCCAGATGTACAAAGAAGATCATGAACGAGAAAGGGTTCGGTGGCAACAGAAGCTTGATGATGCAGAAACTCGTCTATCAGATGCAGAAATTATTATTTCTGAAATGAATCAGCTTAAAGCAGAACTGGTATTAAAAATCTAAAGACCTTTTTTTTTTTTTTCCCGAATCGTACGATATAATCCGATACTCTCCATTTGTCATATAACTGTAGCTTAATTATACTGCTCCAGAAAAACTGATGTAAACAGAAAATTTGGAAATTGAAACAGCAGTTGATATGATAAAAGCTAAAAATGAAAAAATGGATGGATTGATAAGAAGTGTGTTCAAAGATTGGTGTTAGTCATATGTTTTGGTTTGATGATTTTTATTCACAGGTTATGTATCCTGTTGTATCCTGTTGCTACTGCTGCTGCCGCTGCTGCTGTTGCTATTGCTTTTTGTTAACATCACGCTATTCTTAAATCTAACCAGCAAATTTATATATAAATTTTCTCATCTATTCATTTGTAGTTTTTTTTTAAATGAC